CGTTCATAATATATATACAATTATAGTTTTATGCTGTAGAAGAAAAAACCTTCTTCCAGTAGTGCTGCAACCCCGAGATCAAGTGGTGACCAATTTAGCCACCCTGTTTCACTGTTTGAATTTTTCATGAAGATTGAGAATGGCTACGATTCATGAGGTTTATTAACTCAGTCACATTGCCATTGCCATTGCCGGCCCATTGGCTTCAGCAAGTGAATATATATACTATATAGACATAGATTACTCGTGACTAGTTGTACTGATAATCATAATGGTAACAATCTGCACCTGTCGAACACATTATTCATAACATGCTAACAGAATTTCCATTCTCGTTTTCGAGTGGTTTCTAGAATGTTTGGAAGCCAAAGCGCGGCCATTTTGAAAGCATGACTCACCTTCGTAGCATGAATGTTCCCCTGCTGCACCTTTTTCCCATGCTCACGCTTCACGTTCTGATCTATTAAGAAAGTATGTAAATTGGTAACACTGCAACAATATCTCGACATGATACATGAATTACTTTGTCAAAAAACATGAACATCATACTTACTCAGCACGACAATCGGAGCATGCATTTTCGTAAACTTTTCGGCACAAACGGAGCTGCACTACCGCCACCTGAGATCAATCTTTTTTTCAAATTGCAAATTTTATTCTAAACTTTCCTAACGCGTAAGTAAATCTAGTATTTACACTAAATATTAGTACTAAAACTATCTCCGCGTAGTTAAAAGTTATTTTTATTAGATACATATGATATTGACTTTACTTCGTTATTTCATAACGATGCATTATAATAATATCACCATCGTCTGCGCTGCTCACTCTGGCGATGTACGATCTGCAATTAAATGTGAAATGTGAGACTCGGCCCGAGACAGCAGGCGGTTAAATTGTACTTGCAACGTACAGTACACATCGTGAAGTGTAGTATTCTTTCAAAAAGTGCCCACATCTAATATTCTAATGACTCATTCCAACAGGCTCAGTCTTACAGAATTTTCCTATTTGGTGAGGTCATGTACATATCCCATGCATGTGATCAGGAGTAGATAATAGGGGATCCCTATTATCTACTCCTGATGTGATGTACGTCCCAAAAGAAATAATATTTTATTTAAGATTATACATTAATAGTGGAGAGCGCATACTCATCAGTAGTTTGATATAAAAATGTTTATACCCGTCTCATTTGAAATAATTTTAAGGTGGCAAATCTTTCCATATTTTATAACGTTCACATCTACCCAGTACATTTAATTATGTCAAAGTAAACATTATCAGAAGAAAGTTTTCTATTATGGACTCTTGATATTATATTGTTGGAATTATGCATTGGAAGTGCATCGCACACACTTGAGAGAAGCTATCCATAAAAAAACGCTATTCAAATGTTTTAAGTTCAAATCAATTGTATTTCAAATGATAACAGATATCCATGAGTAGACAATGGCAATCAACCTGCTGTAGTTACCAAATCAAACAATAATTTTCTAACGTGCAATAATTTTTCTTGTAATAGATATATTATCAGTGATATTATCATATATATATATATATAAATTACTTTTAAATAAATATCTATCGATTACATAGAAATTATATAGATACATATGCATCTATATTATTTCTATGATCGATTACATCGTTTAGTTTAGGAATAAACACGTTGCATGCAGGAGCATATCCAGAGAGACATGATACAAGATTGCGTGGCACAGCTTTGCTGTTGATCCCGAGCGCTGCGCGCGGATGAGACCATGACCATAGATATAGAAGAAGACCCAACACGGTCACTGAAGTACAAAGCTTACTTAGTTCTGCGGCGTTTTGTTCACGCTACATCAAGGATTTTGCCACCATCACACGTCCTCTTCGAAGGTTGACACACAAGGATGAGCCTTGGAGATTGACAGAGGAAGAAGATACTGCGTTCACGAATCTCAAAAATGCTTTATCTGCTGAGACGACCCTTGGTTACTTTGATCCTGAAAAGGAAACTGTAATCTATACAGATGGAAGCCCAATTGGACTTGGAGCCGTGCTCACCCAGAAGGAATGGAAATCCTGTGCCATTGTACTACGCTAGCTATCCACTTACTGCTACTGAATCCCGCTATCCCCAGATTGATCATGAAGCATTGGCAATCTACTGGGCAGTGAAGCGTTTTCACCTGCATGTATATACGGCAAGGACTTCAGAGTCGTGACCGACCATCAACCACTTGTATCGTTGTTCAATAACCTCTCATCAAAACCGTCCGCAAGAATCGAGCGTTGGCTAATGGACCTGCAGAGGTATCGATTTCACGTTGATTATGAACCAGGTGACAAGAACCCGGCAGACTACGGTTCGAGACATCCGAGCAGTACACCTGCAACATCTACGCTTGAGGGTGTAGACGAGAGAACTGATGGTCACATTGCATACATAGTACGCAATGCTGTGCCAAAGGCAATGACTTTGAGCAAAATTGAAACTGCAACAGTGAGTATTACTGTTATACAGGCAGTTAGCATGTGCATGAAATCAGGGCAGTGGTACAAACCTTCCCCTAGTGTCAGTGTTTCTGAACTGTCGAGATACGAGCAAATAAAAACTGAGTTGACATGCACGGCAGATCAAACTGTGCTTTTAAAGTCGAATCGTATTGTCATACCTGCACAACTTCAGCAGAGAACAGTAGACATTGCACATGAGGGTCATCTTGGTATTGTGAAAACTAAGGCTCTTAGTCAACTGGAGAAAGACCCTACAAGGTTTTCTTAGAACTTACAGATGTACTCCTCACTCTACAACAGACGTTGCACCTGCTACATTGTTCCTGAAGCGTGTGATCAAAACCAAACTACCCCAGATTGTGGAACATGACCCCATCAGTGACACAGTACGCGTACGGGACACTCAACAGAAGCTGAAAATGAAATTCCATGCTGATTCAGCCAGATATGAGAAACCTACTGACCTACAAGTAGGTGACTCAGTGTTAGTGAAAACCCCATACAATCTTGTCAAAGGTGGCTTACCATGTGTCCATATCAAACCACACCACTAACCATTACTCAGAAGAAGGGTAGTATGATATCTGCATCAGATGGGCAGCATTCTGTGACCAGAAACTCTTCATTCTTCAAGAAAATCCCGAGTGATATGGGAGTAGGCATGGAGAGAGACTGTGAGATCACAAGAGACAAGGACTTGTATGATCGGTTTGGTGTTGATCGGGCTGTTCCGCAGTCCCATTTAATGCCTAATCAGTTACCACAAGCTGATAACATTCCGCGGCCCATTGACACCCCATTGAAGTTGACTGTGAACCCTCAGACGTCACCTTTTGATACAAATAGGTCATCACCTCCTATTCCCCCAAGGCGATCAACCCGGATGAGGAAGGCTCCAGAGAGACTTGATCTTTAGAGTTTGACTGTAGTGGATGAGAATGTTGTGAAAGCAGATAGCTTACAGCAATTTGTGAAATATAATCTCCAGTTTATGATTGTAGTGGATGAGTTAACCTTCAGTGTTAATCTATGTGAGCATCAGGCTCTAAGACAGTAATTTGTGTTTGAGCAAATAGTCCAAAGTTTATTAATAGTTATTGCGTTAATTATTCGTGTAATTTTGTGTAAAACCAATATCAATGGTTATCCAGTGAGTGACTATAATTAAGCTGATTCAGTTAAAATCCACCAGGAAGGGGATGTAATGTATTGTTTCATTATATTAATATTGCCCATACTAGATGGGGCCAGTTGTTCTCCCCTCCGAAGAACCAGAGTAATGATGCGACCGCATTGTCCGTTGTTTCTTATACTTGCGTTTATTTCACAATAAATCTATGTGAATACATCACACTAGTGATGAATTCTTTGGAATGCTCTAGCGTTTCACATCGTAGGGATCACAGTTCTGAGTGTGGTATGTCACGTGTCCACATATTAATCAAATTATTAACAAATGATGCAATAATAAAATCAGGCCTCTGTTCACACGAGTGGGCTGTGAATAGGGATACATTTGTCGATTTACTACAGGTCTGTAGATTGATCGCTATCAAACAACTCAGTCCTGGTTAGAAGTAGAAGCAATTGTGATTATGGTTTCAAACTGCATGTGTTTGTAAGGGAAAGATAAGGACACACACAAAAAGCTAAATCAAAAACGCAATCGGCGTTAAAACAATCGTTTCTTTTTACTTTTCTTAATCCTCTTCACCTCCTCCTTTGCCAGCTTCTCCTCTAGTTCCCTCCTCCTCGTCAACTCTGCCGTCTCCTCCAAGTTTTCTCTGGGTGACTTGCTCGGACTAACGCCGGGTGTGACAGAGCCCGCCACCAGCGATGGCGGCAGTCGCTCGTCGCCCCAGGATACGCCCGTAACGACGGACGTGTTGTTTTCTGTCACCTCTTCCTCGTTGTCTGCGCTCGACTCTGGCTCTCTGCACAGCCAGCGTCGCTTCAGGGTCAGTTCTCCGTAAAGACGCCGCACATCGTCCGACGAGAACGCGTCTCGCCCGCCGGCAGCGACCGCTGCGTCGAAGCCCTGTGACGTCGCCATCTGGTGGCGGAACGCCGTTGCATCAAACGCCGGCGTGAGCAGTCGCCGTTTAGACAGCAGCGCCCCCTGCGATGTGTAGTCGGCAATTTCTGTGTCCTTGCGGGCAAGCAGTTTCTCGAGCTCGGTCTTCTGTCGGTGCAGTTCGCTGACTGTTGTCAGGAGAGGAATGACCATCATCTCACTTGTGCTCGCGCAAGGCAGTCTTCTGGCTGAAAATGTCCAGACAAATCTGACACTGGCTAAATTCGATGTGAAATCGATGTCCAAGTTGTCATTGCTCTGAGTCACGTTGAACGTTACACCCTCAACAACCTGCGCACTGATGACCGACTCTATGTGGTGCAATATTCTTCTCAGCGGTGCCTCCAAGTGTGGATTCATGGTTTTGGTTTGTCCTAAGATATCATCTGCTTGTGCCTTGCATTCGAACAAACCATCATTGTAAAACCACATCAAGGAATAGCTACTCTCGGAGAAAATCATCTTCACAAAGGTAGGCCCCATGCACCCATTGACCTGGAATGGCTGCCAAACAGCACTGGCCAAATCAGACTTGTGTTGCCTTCTCCACTCTATGTATTCAGCCATGATTGGCGATGTGGTGCTTATGCTTGATAATAGTTGTTTGTACTCAGTCACTTTATTATTCAAGAGTTAGTCTATCAACATGACTCTCTTCTCCTCCCCCTCCTTCTCCTCCGGTAGACTCCGCTATGGTAGCTTCCTCTGCTTGAAGACTCTCTTCCTGCTGTTTAACCTTCTCCTGTGCATCCTTCTGCATCTTCTCTAGCTTCTCAAGTGTTACAGATTTCATAGGAAGCAGTTTTGGTTTACACAGCACGAGTTTGGGTGTGTCTTCTTCGTAGAGTAGACCATGCTTCGGAAGCACCTCTTGATATGCATTTCTCGTTTCAGACATATCTGCGAAAAAGGATAATAAAATGTACAACAATACAGAAAAAATTCTATACAACCACTAGATTTACTAATGGGCTAATGATGTACACACAGGCACTTGGGCTGAAAGGGTCTATGACTATGTCCCCCGGGGTACTGCCGGAACGTACCCTGGTACTATCTAATATCATATGCCGGACCGTACCTCGCCTACTCCACTAGCGATCCCGAACCCTAACCCTAATCCTAACCTTAACCACATCAAATAGTGACCAAGGTACGTTCCGGTATACCGGACCTTACCCAGGCTACGTTCCGGCAGTACCCTGGGGGACATAGACCCTATGAGCGGCACTTGGAGTTGGAGCGTTTCAATCAAATATAATGGCTGCTAAATAATAGGCAGTGGCTACGGGTACGGTAGCCGTATCTTAATGTTTCGAGGCTACGGGTACGGGAGTCCATTCGCTTTCATACTTAACGAGACAAAGATGGCGGCGGTGGCGCTAGATAATAGATTTCGAAATAACGCCTTGGGAAATAAATTCACGATTTGAGAGTTTAGATGAGCTAGAACCCTAACCCTAACCCTAACCATAACCCTAAACCTAACCCTAACCCTAACGCCAAAAAGGGGCTTCAACGACCGACGGCTACCGTACCCGTAGCCACTGCGAAATAAATACGAAATCTATTTACTACTAGTACTAGTACTAGTAGTAGTACTACTACTAGTACTACTAGTAGTAGTACTACCAAAGTCTTAATGTTTCTCTACTCTCTTTCACCTATTATTGCCGACAATTTACTGTAAATGCCGTCCAAATGAAAACAATGTATTAATATCAAGGTGATACGATACTGGCTATAAATAATTCGATAATAAATACCGGGAACAAACATGAAATAATGAAAACGAAAAGTAAATAGCTACTTGACTAGGTTGTGCGTGGTGCTGCCACCTCGCGTTGATAATTGTCAAGTAATCTATGAAGTTCTGCAAGTGCAATAGGTTGCCTTGCGCGTGACGTCACTGCCATAATAAATGCTACCCCGCGTCATTCTACCTGCAGACGTATATCTGATCAAAGCGGAGCGATAAGCCGTACCATAAATGTCTTGCTGTGGGTATTGAATTTGAAATCTAGTAAGTGGATTCGTGCATTACATTTATTTAGCGTTCGTTGTGAAACACGTGCACGTGCACAAACTGGGTGGTATCCCAGATGATCCCTTGGATGATTAGCTTTATCTGTGACACACAGCACATGTCGTCATGAAGGCCTAGGGTGAGTACATATACGCATCGTACTTGGTGATGTAAGAACTCTATCGTTTTAGGCTCGGTTAATAATTTAGCATGACTGAATTGAAATCACAATTAACATCACAATTTATCTAAGTAAGCGTAAACAAATGGATAAAATAATATTTAGCATTTCATGGAGTACTAGCTACATTTAGTATTTTTCGGGCGTGCGTGCGTGTGTGTGCGCCTGTTTGTATGATTGAGGGCTCGCATGTGTGCGCGAGCGTGCGGTTAGATCTGGCGCACTATAGTGGGGACCCTGCTTGATACACCTCCCTTTTAATTAGGCCATATAATGAAAGGCTGAGGTCAATAACTTTTGTTGCAATTGCCGACATACTGTAGATTATAGATGTGGTCAGATTATTCATCTGTTATTTATGCGCGCACAAACGCGTTAAATCATATGTGTGGGTGCGTGCGTGCGTGCGTGCGTGCGCGTGCGTGTGTTGTTTGTGCGCGTGTTTATGTGTGCACATGATAAATGCGACGACATATTATATAGATATTCTTTAAGCATATAAATATTTTAAAAGAAATTCTGTAAGCAATAGCATATCAATAAACTAACTCGTCGAGTAATCAGTAAGAAAATCGAAACTACGAGATTTGTTAACTTCTAATATTGCTGATTGATGGTTAGTTCTGACTATTAATTCAGTTTACCAACCAAGTTATGTGACGCGTTAGAATCTAATTATATGAGTCACAAAGTAGGCGGCCGAAAAGTTCCAAATCTTTCAGCATTTCGTTTCGAATATTTCCGGATAATCCATTTGTTGTGAACCTCGATATTTGTTCTTTATCAAACTTTTCTCCGAGACGTCATTCTTTACTGAAAAAAAAACAATTACATATTTTCTTGCAAACAGACGTACTGTTGTCAAAACCCGATTAGACGGGGTTCGACAAAAATGTTAAATATCAGAATTAATTAAGGTGGGTATAACAAAGAAGTTGCGAGTTTGTCCAATTTTCCTTCCAGAAATCTGAAAGACGTGCAAGCTAAGCACCCACGCCAAGCTGGTGCACACAGCATACATTTTACGCGTAGCATGTAAATATTATATACTTTATGGAAATGTCACGCAAAAATCCATAGACGCGCACTGCAATGCGTTAGCAAACTCTGCGAACGTCTACAAACGCCTGTAATAATAGTGTACAGTAGACCAAATCACCAAAAATATGTGTATTGTGTTAGAACGCTGATTGACATAACGTTGGTTTAAAATAGAGTGTATGGCGTTTTTATCGTAGTATAACGATGCCGACGACTAACGCGTATCTGCCCATATAGTATAATTAGCATTGAAACAAAGCATATTAATGAATAAAGGAACTTAATTGACTTCAACGCCATTTTATGTAGGTATCGCGCATATTTGCGTTATGGATGTATACACGCGTGTGAATAATTAACGCTACAGTCGTGCATTGCCTGAGACTCGTTATAAAAGCAAGAGTAGTATTGCTGAAAGCAAATTCGTGTTCTTAATACGGGTGTCCGGCGACGCTACTGCTACTGCATGGGGGTCGAGGTTACCTTATCGACTTACAAGTTACAGCCCGCAACACGCACGCGCCCGCACTAACCCCCATAAACGTCCGTGTGCACGCACACAGGCATGCACGCACGCGTGTAGGCCTATATAGTGATAGCTACTATATAGTCATGTAACGATGTCACATATAGAGAATGATTCATCTACCAAGCATTTGTTCTTTGTCTATAGGCAGGGTGGGTTCGGAAACTCTAACCCTATATGGGTTGCAGCGCTGCGGGAATTTAACTTATGGGCTGTGGACGGTCAACGACTCTCACCCCGCAACAGTCAAATCGACCGCAAGAGCCGCTGAACGACAAGGTAAAATCAGCCACGCCAGTCGATAAAGAGGAGAAACAGCCCCTAGCCAGGACTGCTACGAACACTACGATCCAGGTGACACATGCAGGAACAGGTACGGGATATCGATAATTGTAATAATTGTGGTTATAATAATAGTAATAAAAAATAGAAATAATAATAATTAACTTGCTCTAAAAGACACTATATGACACTAACATTTTTGTTATATGTTTATCACTCTGTGATATCGACTTTTTGCTCCCAGCTAGTATGTCGAATAGTGATATAAAGAGCTCATTAGCCATAATATAGTGTATTCGCTTTCGGTGGTGTGCCTGATATTGATCTATCATATTAAATCCAATTACGTAGTCTGATAGAACTACGACAATAAGAATAGTATCGATAGTATTCAACCAAATGTCGGATGTAGACCTGTAGATTTTAGTCATAGAAGTTACAATTAAAATATTAATTATAATGACTAGTAACGACGAGTTTGTGTATTCGACAAACATTCATTAAACTTGCTATATATATATATATGTGTGTGTGTGTACATAAATAAATAAATAAATATATATATATATATAAGAACTTTATTCATGAATTTCCTCTACCGTTTTGCTTCCGTTACCGTTGTGCATGAAACATTTTTCATACATACAATGTGACAATAAATTAACAAACCGCATAAATACCGTCATTTGATCAAAACATTTTGATTCATACGCCCTTGTAGTGATTTTTGAGAAATAAAAAACAAAGCTAAATCAACGTTAATATACTATATAATGTAATATACTATCGCTAAATGAGCGAATGTTAATAGCATCAATACGGGTAAATTAACGGTAAACTAATCGCGCGAAACCAGATAGTGTGTAGTAACAATTAATGGCGACCGGAATCTTGATGGATTTTCAGAAGACGAAAAGCGCCATGAGAAGAGCAATCCCGAACTCGCGCCGTTCACAAACAGTTGCACGTCGCTACCGACGCGCCTGCAGCCGCCTGATTGGCCCGCGGAAACCGCTCGTTACGTCACTGCGCACTGACCAAAACGCGCGTCTCTTGTCGCGAGTCCCTCTCCTCGCTGCCTCTCCCCAAGCCACGGCCGCCAGCCCCGTCCGAACCGCGACTCGTCACCGACGCAGGATAGACCGCTGTCCATTCAGAACTACCTGGCCGACGTGCCGCGAATGCCGTCACTCGGCGAGGACGCGCTGCTGTACGACGACGATGACGGGGGCGGTGGGGGGGGGTGGGGGGGGAGGGGGGGGGGGGGGGGATCACGGAATCCGAGTCGGTTGACACTGGCGACGACGTGCCGGCGTCGGTCGACCCGTCGCTGTTGGAGGAATGCGCGATCGCTCGAACGGATCTCGAGGCGGAAATGCCGAATGTAAGCAGCAGCTGACGCTCACGATTTAATTATTAGCACGCGCGCATACAACGTGAACAGTTCTCCTCACATTTTCAACTTAGACGCATAATTTTCCTACACGCACGCACCGCACGGCACGTCACTCACATCCACTCACTCACTCACTCACTCACTCAGCTCAGCTGCACTTCACTCACTCACTCACTCACCATTCACTCACTCACTATCACATCACTCACTCACTCACCCTCACTCACTCACTCACTCACTTCACTCACTCACTCACTCACTCACTCACTCACTCACTCACTCACTCCTCACTCACTCAACTCACGTCACTCACTCACTCACTCCCTCACTCACTCACTCACTCACTCACTCACTCACTCACTGCACTCACTCACTCACTCACTCACTCACTCAACTCACTCACTCACTCACTCACTCACTCACTCACTCACTCACTCACTCACTCAGCTCATCATCACTCACTCACTCACTCACTCACTCCACTCACATCACTCACTCACTCACTCACTCCTCCACTCACTCACTCTTGCACTACTCACTCACTCACTCATCTCACTATCACTCATCCTCACAACTCACTCATCCACTCACTCACTCACTCATCACTCACTCACTCACTCACATCACTCACTCACTCACTCACCACTCACGCTCACTACTCATTCATTCACTCACTCACGCACTCACTCACTCATTCACTCACTCACTCACTGACACACAACTCACTCAACACACACACACACACACACACACACACACACACACACACAATACACACACCACACACCACTCACTCACTCACTCACTCACTTCACCCCCCCCCCCCCCCCCCCCCCCCCCCCCCCCTCTCACTCACTCACTCACTCACTCCACTCACTCACTCACTCACTCAACCACCTACCCAACCACCCACCACCTACCACCCACCCACCTACCCACCACCAAACACCCACACACTATCTGGTGTGGGTGTGTGTGTGTGTGGATGCGTGTGTGTTCGTGCGCGCGCCGCGCGCCGTGTGTCGTGTGTGTGGACCTGTGTGGTGTGTGCGTGCGTGTGGTGTTTTGTGTGTGTGTGTGTGTGTCCGTGTGTGGGTGTGTGTGTGCACAGCGGCGAAAATAAAAAAAAGAAAAAAAAAAAAAAAAAAAAAAAAAAAAAAAAAAAAAAAACAAGAAAAAAAAAAAAAAAAAAAACAAAAAAGAAAAAACCAAAAAAAATACAAAATAAAACGAACAACAAACAAAAAAAACATAATAATAGAAAAAAACATAAAAAAAAAAAAAACAACCAAAAAAAAAAACCAAAGAAAGACAAATAAAACAAAACAGACAAAAAAAAAAAGAAGAGAAGAGAACACAAACCCGGTCCGACTAATACCCAGTCCGTTTGCGTTGTGTGTGAATATGTGTGGTGTGTGTGGGTGTGGGTGGGTGTGTGTGTGTGGTGTGTGTGTGGTGTGTGTGTCTGTATGTGTGCGTGTCTCTGTTTTATGTGTCTTTCTGTATCTATGTCTGTCTGTCTGTCTGCTCTGTTTGTCTGCTCCCTTGTCTGTTTGTCTGTCTGTCTGTTGTCTGTCTGTCGGTCTGTCGTCTGTCGTCGTCGGATGTCTGTCTGTCTGTTCTGTCTGTCTGTCTGTTCTGTTCGGTCTGTCTGTGCTTCTTGTCTGTCGTGTCTGTCTGTCTGTCAGTCTGTCTGTTCTGTCTGTCTCCTGTACTGTATGTCTGTCTGTCCGTCGTCGTTCGTCGTCCGTCGTCCGGTCCGTACCAGTCGTCCGTCCGTCGTCCGTCCGTCCGTTCGTCTGTATTTCTCTCTGTCTGTCTGTCGGTCTATCTATCTATCTGTCTGTATCAATGACGAGATTGCGTTACCACCCCTCTTTCTTTCGTCGCGCTCGCTATGTATAGACAGGTAATGTTGTAATTTGATTACGTTACTCTATAGCACGTGTCACCTTCAGCGGACATCGCCGAGGACTTCGCCTTGCAGAGCGAACACATGGAGCTTGCCGACGAAATCGCTGAACCTCCCGTTTTTCATCGGCGACACAAAATGTGAGTGCGATAGAATGTTGGATTGTCGCGGAATGATAGCTGCCGCTGCTGCTGCTGCTGCTACTACTGCTACTGCTACTGCTACTGCTACGTTCCTGACGCTACCGCTACCGCTACCGCCTACCGCTACCGTTACGCTACGCGCTGACCGCTCGCTACGCGCTTTCCGCTACGCTGACGCTACCGCCTTACGCTACCGCTATCCGCTACGCTACCGCTACCCGCTAGCCGCTGACGCTACTGCTACCGCTACTGCTACTGCTACTGCTACTGCTACTGCTACTATTGCTGCTGCTGCTACTACTACTACTACTACTACTACTACTAATAATAATAATAATAATAATAATAATAATAATAATAGTAATGACGGTGATGATAATAAAATACAAAATATAATCAAAAGCCTATTCGAGATTAGCATAATTAATTTTTTTTTTTTGATAACCCACGAAGTAGTAGTTGACGAGCCGACTTTTGGCAATTACCACCACCATCCCCACCACCACCACCAGCACCACTCCCACCACCGCTACCGCCGCCACCAACAACAACAACATCATCATCAACAACAGCAACAACAACAACAACAACAACAACAACAACAACAACACTACTACAACTACTACCATTACCAACATATATGCAATAGGGGGCTTCCAACAAGAGGTTGTTATTCTTCAAACAGGCATCATTGTGACAGCCGAACATGTCACTACTCTCTAACAATTTTTCATAAATAAATCTCTACCTGGACAATCGCATATAATCGAGTTGTTAGGCGCCTGCAGCCTTTTTTGATAGAACGAAAGTTTGCTAACACCGTGTGCTTTCTTCCTGAAACCAATAGGCATCTCACTGCTAGCATGACGGAATTCTTTTACATCCTAGATGAAAAGATTGGAATGGTGAGTGCATTATTCAATAGCACAATATAAATATATAGAATTTAATGAAACACTTGACTAATTGCTTAATGACCGAAGAGGCCACTGCTATCAGTAATCATCGTCCATGGAATCATACTTCGCTAACGAAGACATTTCATTGTGGACGGCCGTGCCATTCCGAGAAACTGGCACGCGTTATGTCGTGCCGTATATACTCACGCTATCTGAGACGTAAACGAACCACGCGCCTGTGCGTGATTCAGTGACACACTGATCTCTACTATACTAACTACTAAGACTAAGTTATAGTATAGTAGAGATCAGTGGTGCGTGTCCGTATATCACGTGGACTGTTGCTATGGAAACGGTTAATAAGAAATACGGACGTATACTTATGCGAGTACAGCATCGCCTTCACGTAAGCAAATTTGATTTATAGAACGTATATAGTATCCAGAATAGCCCCACAGCAAACTACTTTTTAATCAATACCACCCCTATACAGCAGCTCAGAGGAAATCGCATGTAATATATCAGCTTTAATGATCCAGTACGTGTTTACAGGGGCGTAGCCAGCCTTTCCAAGAGGGGGGATTCCTTCCAGGAGAGGGGATTCCAAACCTACTATATACTAATAAAACTTCGTTAAAAGTTTCGTCTCATGCTTTTATATACATACTGTATGAGATATGTGCTATTTTGATACAAACCAGGGTGGATTCCGGAATGCCTGGAATCACCCCTGGCTACGCCCCTGGTTTATATTGTGTAGTATTACAGCTATCTTGCAGACATATAGGACAATATATAGTCGAAAAAAACTTATTAAATTCTTATATATGTAAACGTAACGAAAACCAACGTTCAACATATGTTATAGCCTACGACGTTCCGTCGACACCGAATTCACGGTATCCGCAGGAAAGCATAGATGTGCAGATAATAAGCGCTGTCGCAACATACGAAGAGCCGAGTTAAACAATATAGGGGCACAAATTGCTTCTAGATATTACATCGACACCAACATATTATCAGGCGTGAATAACAGCAAACATTGTATATATACAGCTGTAATATTATACAGGCGCGATTGGGCGCACGAGGCACACATGAGTGAACCGCCGTGATCGGCACTAACAATTCGCTCTATATTCCATATGCCTCGTGCCTCTCGCTAATGTTCGATGTTTCTAACTCCGAGGGCCGACTTCTGTGTACGCCACAGAGGCTCCTCCGCCTACTGTCACTGTTTTTCTCCTTTTCGGCGGGACCTTCTAACATATTCCGCCAGGCTCTACTGATATAATAAGAAAAAGCTCTATGATGTAATAAAAAAACTCATCCAATTTTTGGTCGTTTACCAGATTTAACGGGAAGTTGCGGCCACCCAGAGATAATACGCCACTATCACGGAAACGAGTATTGCTGCTTGAGAAATGCAGTTCTATTATAGAAGCCTTAGAAGTATTTATACAGTTATTTCGAACTTTCAAAATTTCAGGGCGGAGACTACGAATCCGAGGATGAGAGACAAAGTCGGCAGAGCGGACTTGGAATAATATGAACTATAGCGCAAATATACGGTTTAATGAGGTTCCACGCGCACGAAGCCATCCCACTCTTATCGGAGTAACAAGTGCGTAGTGCGCAGAGGAAGTCTGATACCTTTCTGCTCTCCGCGCGCATGCAGCACACCGCCGACCGCGTGGCATTTAGAAAGCTGCTGTCAGTGTAAACCAAAGGCGATGAACATCACGGCTATAGGTATAGTGCACTCGATTTTATTTTCATGATCACTCGTCTAACGTTACACAATACGTATTTCTCGAACTAAACAGCAGGTTGGCCGTAACACGAGAGTGATTCTGCTGCGTCGCGTAGCAACGAGCGTGCAATTGATGCAGTCGGCTGACGGCAGTTTGAATCGGCGTTGGTGACAGCGACAGTCAGTTCAACTGCCAACTGAGAAATGTCAACAAAGAAATAAATAAACAGGATACATGGGCTACCGCTGCGAGTTGAGTTTCCTGATTTCCTGCTTCGTTTAATTATTCACGAATGTTAAAAATGTTCTTTCGACTCTGGTCAAGAGCAGATAATAACACATTATGTGTTATTATCTGCTCTTGCTCTGGTTTATATGTCTGGGACCTCAAAGCGAACAAAATGTAATATCGGAACGCACAACGTTAGACAGTGGCACGGTTATGGCAGTGCAGGGTAAACACATGTGGGCCTGTTAGAAATATCGTCTGTGTCGACAATGCTCTTCGTCTCACCCTGCACGCCTCGCCTCGTCGACGAAACAGCGGCAGTGTGCCCGGCTACATCGGATTTTCCTTTCGCGCGTCTTGCCGCTACAAGAATACTAATTATAACGACACCGCGTTAATCACGCGACTCTCAAATCACCGCTGGCCAATATTCGCGCATCTTTTCACGGAGGACTCGCGTGCTCAGCATCGAGAGACGATACCCTGCGCATCGGCGTCTCGCGGCACGCACGGGAAATCGTCACCGAGTCGAATAACTCGAAGCACTCGGCACTCGAGATAATTATTGGCCATGGTGATGAGTGCAATCGCCCGCGGATAAAGAACGCTGTAATCAGCGTCAAAATTAATTACGTGCTTACATTCACGATGTGCGCTGCCCTGCAGGTAGTAGCTGGGAAGCTCACGTATAGTAGCTGGGTTAATATAGCCGGCATCTGAGATCGATAACTAACAAATCGGCCGGGAGGCACTGATGGCAGAAGCGAGCGCGACGAGGCATACATCAATAGTATAGAACATTCCCTCACCTTCACCTGGGCGGACGACCACCTCCGACAACCCCTACGTGGGCGGGCGGCAACCTCCAAGTGGGCGGGTCGACAACCCCTACGTGGGCGCGGTACCCTTCCTAAATGCGGAGGAGGGGGAGTGGCCACCAACTAACGTATGAGAACGACCACTTCTAGATGGACGGAAGCAACCACCCTTACCTGTGCGAGCGTCAGACAACTGATGACGTCACATGAAAAACTTTATTACTTCTTCGAAGCGGATTTTAGATTTAATGATGACAGCAGATACGTTTGCTGTTGTTCACCGATTTAGCATACTTGCCCGATGTTGACATTTAGAGCGTATGCAACGGTCGGCGTTCTATCCTGCTACCGCACACATATGGCCGGGTACCATATCAAGCTTCATCGTGGCAAACCTTGCCTTGAATGTCTGCCGAGACCTGCGCTACTGTAGCGTAATGCACTAGTCAATTGACACCCCCACCCCCGACCCCCGGGACGGGTGGGGGAATTAACGGGGATATGCGGGGGATTTAACGCGCATTTGACAGCGTAAATTTACCGGGGGGGGCGGGGAATTTAATGCGTACCTTGAATAGCGGGGCATATATAGCGGGGGATTTAACGCTGAACCGTTAAACAAGATGGCGGATCTCGTGCGAAAGAAAGTAAGTTTAAATCTTTATGAATCTTTAATTTATTATAATATACCCGACGATCCGCAGTATTTGATGTCTTTTATGAGAGAGTTTAAGGGTCTAAGATTTAGAATTTATTTGGATTACCTGTATTTGCGAGCTATTTCGATATGAAAATGATATAAACATGTGAGTTTTCGTTCTGTATGTCAGACGAATTCGTTTTGTATTGTAGATTCTCTTTCAATATGGAGAGCCAAGAAAGATATTAGATATAGGAGATGAAACAGCTGAGTTAAATAGGTTACTCCGAAGCGATTTTAATATCGCTAGAGAAGAGGGAAATATCGTCTTGCAACGGTTTGATGAGACATAGAGTGAGCGGCTAGACATAGCCGAAGAGGAAGAGCTTGACGACAGAGCTAAAATACGTGCGTTCGTCCTGCTTCGACAAAAAGATGTTGAAGATACAGCAGAGAAAACTCGGACACCTGTTGTGCAGACATTTAGACAGGTACGTGTTTAGGTCCTCACCTGACATCGTCAAGCTGAGCTATTAGCCCATGTGGGTCGCTCTTCCGTCGTCCGTCCGTTCGTCCGTCCGTCCGTCCGTCCGCTTCGTTCTGTTCGTACCGTCCGTCCGTCCGCAACATTTTGGCTACGCGTCAAACGATAACTCCAGGAACGTATGACCCACACGTTTTGGAAATTGGGCTATAGTTGTTACTTCGCTATGCTCCCATATTAAAACGTCGCCTCATTTGGAGCACGCCAGGTCGACGTACTTCTCGAGCCACGGCATATTTTTTGCAAAAAGCTGGGAGATTGCCATAGTCAAGTTCAGGCTTACACGGATTTTGCTATTTTGGTATGTGAATGAATAAGGCGCTAGGGGTTTTCGCATATTAGTAAAAATTATGACCAAATTAGTACGGCTGTGGGGGCAATTATATATGCACTATTATTATAGACACGGAGATAACAAACAGTAAATGTCGGTGTCACACTCGTCTGGTTCGTTTTACAAAGATATTTCATTTAACAATATCTTTAATGCAAAATTCTTGCTATGAACCATATATTATGATTTATACCATTATTATTATATTATTATTATTGTGATATAATGATTTATTGCTAAGAAACATCCAAAGCGGGTCTTATAGCCCATCTAACCGCTCACAAATTTGATTCATTTTTGTTTATACAAAATTTTATCTATAATTTATATATAAGTTCATTATTCTATATATTTTACATCAAAAATTACACATAATTTATCAAAGTTATATATGGGAGTCCTCAATATATACTCTTCGTTCTATCATGTACGTCGATGTTGTGTTTTCGGCATTGCGCATGTCATTCGATTGGCACTGCGTCGCTTCGATTGTGGTGGTTCATGCGTGATTTCGACTTCTTCTCACTCACTCAATTTGTGCTGAAGCAATTGTAGTAGCCGCCAAGCAAGTCTATGTTGCTGTTATTATTTTTGTTCTATCGTGCTTACGATTTTACAACTCACTAATACCGGATTTTAATAAATAAGAGATCGGGTGTGCACAGGTGCCAAAAGTTATATTCATCTTACCTAAATCATAGTGTGTGTGCGTGCTGTGACGTGCGTGGTGCGTCGCGGCCCTGCCGCCGCGCCGCTCCGTGCGTTGCTTCGTGCGTGGCGTGCGTGCGTTGACGTGCGTGCGTGCCGTGGCACGTGACGTGTGTGTGCTGTGTTGTGCCTGTGGGTGGTGTGTGCTGTGTGTGTGTCGTGTGTGTCGTGTGTTGTGGTCCTGTGTGTGCTTGCTATGTACTGTATGTATTTTGTATGTATTATGTATGTATGTATTGCGTGTCGTCGCGCGCCGTGCATCGCGCTGCGAGTGGTATAAAACTAGTTACAAGTTAATTATATCTTACTATAAAAGTAAGATCGTCTGTCTGTCGGTCTGTCTGTCTGTCTGTCTGTCTGGTCTGTCTTCTGTCTGTCGAGCTATACGTTTCCGCATCGCCACTGCTCAACGGATCCTATCAAAACTTGGTGGCGAAATTCTACAGGTCATGACACGTTGATGGGCCTTTTTATTATTCCATATTTTAATTGTGGTTTATCCAGTGGTTCCACCTTTCCTGTATGCATGGGTCTCACCAGTGCTCCCAAGGGGGCATGGTTGTGTCCCGAGTGTGGGTATTAATTAATAATAGTATAAATGCAGAAACGCATACGGTGCGAAGGGAGTGCAAAAGAATGATTCTTGCAGCCAAGTCATTATTATTATTATTTAAATATCGATTACTTTGATTGTTATTGTCAGCTTGATTTTTTTAGGTGTTAAATAAAGAACCACTGGAAAACATACCAGTAGAGTGGTCTCGCATGAAGTCACGGTTTTTCCAGTGGGCCATATTGGAGTACGATAGACGACTAGTACACATGCCCAAGCAACCTATCCGTAAACTTCGCCAGCCGTCGTTATGCACAGTTGAATTAATCATGATGAATTTTTGTGCTATTGTTGGAAGTGGTAATCGAGGGGAGATTGCTCAATATTTGCTGTCAAATGTTTGCCAAATAATATGTGCTCACCTTTTAGTATCCTTTGTAAATAAAAAAGTTCTAGAATTGTACAAGGATTTCATTCTACTTAATTGCAATACATAAAATATTCATAATATTATATTAGTATTTCTTTCGTATTTATATATATATGTGTTAAAAGGATGCATGACCACAGTAAGGTACACACCCAAATGTGAAAACAATAAATGATTTTAACCGATTTATAAAAGCATAAGATTGCAGGTGCAGTTTTCATTCCAGGTAGCTATTTCAATATAAACAAACTCAAATCTAAAGTAGTACCAAACTGCATGATTCCTATTAGCTATTTAAAATCTCACCTTGCAGTTTCTCACAATACTTGTATGCACATTCCACGTAGTTATTTCAATATAAACAAACTCGAATGTAAGGTAGTACTAAACTGCATTATTCCTATTAGCTATTTCAAATCTCACCTTGCAGTTTCTCAAAATACTTGTATGCACATTCTAGAAATATATCTGGAAATATCATTCTGGAAATATATATCTGGAATATATCTGGATATCTGGATATATATATAATATATATATCAGGAGTAAATAATGGGAATTTTCATTATTTACTCCTGATATATGTCTAGAATTTCTGGATATATCATTCCAGAAGGATATTCTGGATATTCCCGCAATATTCTGGAATATTGCCGGATTCAAGAAGAAATGCCTACATGCGTGTCGCGTGTGCGTACGCACAAAATGTACGAACACCCCACGCACAAATTTATTTGGAATTTTTTATTGAAGCGTGCGTTGAGTGCTCGTACGTAAATGTTAGTGAATACCGGCTAACGCAGCGCTAGCATATAAAAAAAAGTAGGCAGAGCTTATTTTGGCCAATGGCAGGACACCTTACATTGTTTTTGCCCAGGCATCTATAAACAAATATAAATGCGGTACGAGCGAGCGGCACACTAGTATATTCATACTGCGTTTGATATACTGCGGTTGAAGTATAAATGAGCTTATTTATTGAAATTT